GAATGGATTATTTAGTCTTCTTTGGTAAAAATCAAAATGTGAAGACTACTTGTAAGCTGCCAGTGCACACCACCATGACATCCTATTGCATCTTCATTCTTTCATTGTTCATACTTGCTAAAATATCCTGGCTTGTGGCTTTTTTCCAGGTGCAGTTCAAGGTGCTGGTTTTGACCAAAAAAAAACCTCTTAAAGAAGTTTGGTTTCTAGGGATTTGCTATTAAAAACTCTATTAAATGGCAAGATCTTGAAGGGACTGTCTTTTAAGTGAAAAGCCCTCTACTTATAATTTGCTTCCTGGGAGCACTCATTCACGTACTTGGAATATTTAATTCATCGTTTGTTTGTCAGGCTTTCACATGGCTGCTGCACTAAAGAAGAGAAGTTTTACATCTCTCTGGATAGAAAGAATAGACAATCCAATGTTTTGAATGCATTTTTAAATTGTTCCTGTATACACTGACATCATAGGATGAAGAGCCATTATATAGCAAAATGCAGGAGTTAAATAAAAGATTAAACCAGAAAATAATAGGTGAGAGCATATTTGAAATATATCCAGGATAATCAAAGTTTTATTAGCAAGAAAAACACTGGGATGAGTGTACACATAGAAGGATATAATAATCTATGTTTATTGTCACCTTATATTAAACTGTGGAAGAAATACCGCTGGGATCTTTTGGTCTGTGATGCTGAAAAGGAGTAAGAGATAATTTATTTGTATGTTTTGGACAACCTATGATGATGATAAAAGAAAACAGCAAGGCAGCACTGACAATATGACAGGACGAAAGGGTAGGCTCTCACTCAAGGTTCATATTACTAAGAAACGACTGGAGAGTACTAGAAGTCTGTTCAAGAGCTTTCTGTCTCAAAATCTAAAATGGCTGTTTTTAAATCTCTTCTTAGAAAACTTCATTGTACTCGGAACTACATCCATCTGAACCTGTTCCTCTCTTTTATTCTAAGAGCAATCTCTGTTTTAGTCAAGGATGATATTCTGTATTCCAGCTCCAACACAGCTCACTGTCCAGAGGATCAAACCTCATGGGTAATAAACCGCATTTGCTACCTGGTATAATACTGTTGTGTCACTAAATTTTCCTCCCTGTTCCTTTTAAATATTTAGGAATACCAAGCTGTCAGTGTAGACAATTCTGTAGAGAATATAATGACTAGAAAAATGCTCTATTAGAAGTAGCCAGAGAAAGAAGGTTGCAGCACAAGTAACAGAAGCTAATGTTGTTTTGCGTCTTCATGAAGGGACAACTTGTCATCTGCCAAAACAAATCATGACCAGCTATAGCTCATAATAAATATGGGCACTGCATTAATCATCTGGGAGAGTTTAAGACAAACAGGAGTGCCATCAGCTGAGAATGATCGAAGGCAGCTCGTCTGGAAATGTTCCAGCAGCTTTATCAGGGATCCAGGAATTGGACAGGTATCAATGGAGGGAGAGAAACAAGTCAGGGAATTAAATATTTGCAGGAGTTGTCTTTATTGACTCCTCTGTCCTTTCTAGCTATGACAGAAGTGTTGCCATCTGCATTCTTGGCAAGCTGATATGTTTACTGCATTTTCAGGCACAGGGGTTAAAAAAATCTCAAGTCTTGCTGTTAAAAGACTGACCAGTACATGATATTCCCCATTCTCTGCCTGCGTTGTTTCAGCCAAAAGTGCTGCAGAAGAACCCTACAAATATTGCTAAATATTTTCTGAATTTAATTTACTACAGTTCAAGCTTGTGAGAAAAAAATAGAAGGAAGATATTTTTATATTTATGAAGCCATATTGTCCCAAATATAAAGTTCTTAGGAGTGACTACCAAGCTGTATGTATGAATTCATAATCTAGGATATTTCTGATGAAGACAAATAGGCTTTGAGTTAGTAGATTCAAAGTAGGCAAAGGAGTTAGTAGGCAGATTGCCAGGGCTAATCAAACGTTCTGAGGTCCTTGAGAGATTAGTCAATGGACTCTCAAAATACTACTTGATTTCTGCATTTTCTTTTATTCTCCAGTTATTCTTGGCTGCAAAGCCTCATACTTTCATGCTTGAATATGTCCAGTTTTGTGGACTGTTGAGTAATTTTTTTTGCATTATATGTGGGATGATCTGGCACCAGCTTGGCAAGGCTGTTTTGTCTTGCATTGGCTGGATGCTACCTTTCTTACATAACAGCATGCAGGGTTTGCCCCTTTTGTCACACGTGTGTGATGTTCCACAGTTCTGCTGCATGCACAGACGTCTAAAAGCACACAACTCAAAATGCAATGTAGTTAGGTCCTGGATCTGAATGACACAGAGCCATAATTTTGGCTAACTTTTTACTGACAGATACCTTTGCTGTTCAGCATCTGGAAAGACACCTGATATAGGATTAGATGCAGGAGGAAGGGAAAATATTTTGATGCATGGTTCTGGTATGTAAATTCAGAATATAATACAGCAGAGTATTGGAATTTAAAAGAGATTAAAAAAATTTTAGACTTTGCTAATCTCATTGTAAATAGTCACAAGCATAAAAGCAAATTTCAACCTGCATATTGAAATAATTAATTTTCTGCATGTTAAATTTTCTGGCCCATTACTGGTCTGCAATGGGTGTCCCTTCAGTGCGTACAAGGTCCAGAGGTAAGATTAGTCTTACCGCATGAGATGACTGGACTAAGCTGTTTCTCTGGGCTTCTCCTTCTCACTGGACAGTTTATCTCATCTGCTTTAAGACTTTCTCTGGACATGCCTGTCTCTCTTTATAAGCTGTATGAGGAGCTATTTGGCTAGTAGGTGGCAAGCTTTCACCAGAAACCTTGCTTGTAGGCAGCTAAAATTAGGTGAAATGAATTCAAGTTTTTGGGCTCTTACTTAGTTGTCTGTATAGGCATGTACACTGGCCTAAATAGAGGCATGTATGTTACTTGGGACACACTGAGATATCGGAGACACCCGAAAGGGCTGATGGATACAAAGAAGTATCTCTAGGAGGTCTATGCCCTTCTGGCTTAGCAGCTGGTGACAGGTCCCTGAGGGCATCTCACTTCATAATAGACATCTATGTTTAGACAGATGAATTGATCACTAAATGAATGTTACCTACTTAGGTATTTGGTGTACTTGGAATTTTAACAGAAACAGTGGAGGTTTGAAGGGTATTTAAAATGGGGAAGGGAATAAAGCTGGCAGAAACTAGAAATTTTATTTAGTCCATTTTGTTTAGTCTGTTACATTCATCATATCTTCGCATTTCTCAACTCAGTCTCAGCAGAAACATTTTTATGTTCAATTCTCACATCCCAGATTCCTACTGGGAAGTACCAAAGTAGCAGCAGCCAGCACTGTAGAACATCAGCAGCACAGACATCTGAAAATTAATTCTGACAGAATATAAGTATATTGAGACTTCATTTTATGATACATGCTTATGTGTTTTGTTAATTAAGAAACACTAATGCATTTTCTAAAGGGAAAACATTATTTTTAAAAGTCCAATCAACTTTTTTTTCTCTAAGTCTACTTAGAGTATTCATCATGTAAAGTTATATTTTTCACTCAGTTTCTCATTTAGCCTTGAAAAATTCATAAAGCAGTTTCTTTGTTAGTTTTTACTATGTTAAGAAGCCAGCTGAGATGTTAATATATTTATTAGCTACCTAGTAGATGATCATTTAATCTAATAGCCATTCATTAACTAACTATTGCAAATATGTGTATTTATTGATAGCCACCACCTTTTACAATATGAACTATGAAATTTTCAAAATTTCTAAGCAAAATTTCTATGAAAGCCATCTAAATATTTTTTTTATAATTCATTTTCTTTATATGTATATAGTAACATTTACAATGTCTCAATTTGTTTGACTGTAGGAAAAAAATTTATAGCGGACCTGGGTTACTAGTGTTATACAGAGAGTTAAGACCTATAGGATATATTAATAACAGAATAATGCGGCATCTTTCCTGCAACAACTTTGATCCCTATTCTCAAATTTCAGGTGGGCTGCAAGGCTATTTTGGTATTTTTTCAGTATGGTGTTATGGCAAACTTTTACTGGCTCTTAGTTGAAGGACTTTACCTCCACATTCTCCTTGTGCTAATATTCTCCCCGAACAGACACTTCACAATCTACCTGCTGATTGGATGGGGTAAGAACTTAAACATCTTCTTTAAACGTATAAATGTAAAGAATAAACATATTCTTTTTTCTATCTGTATTAGTCAGGTTCAATGTTTCATACAAGGTAGTCATGCCATTTCTGTTGGATGACTCTTCAGACTCACTAGTTCCTCATTTCAACTCCAGCATTGGTTAGAGCCGCTGTACCATTGGAGAGAGCGGGCACAAAACTGCTGAAGCATGACTACTAGCTTGCTCCTTGGCATGGCTCTGACCTGTGCCAATCTGCACAATGCTCAGGGGTTGTTCAAGATATAGGATGGTGCAAGGACTGCCATGACAACGGGTATGATTCAGGCTGTCCTAATTTGGGAGGAAAAAGAAAGTTTAGCTGCACGGCCACAGGCTATGCTATGCTGTTTGCCGTTTTGAAAAGCCCAATAATATTGTTCATCTGGTTTTAAATACATGTATTCCTTTCATTTCCAGAAAGTGCAATGATATTTATATGGAGCATTTTAAAGCATCCAGTCATAGGTGGTCATAAAACGTTTAGATATTGCTGAGAAATGGGAATAAATCAGTGTAGGGGAATGGTTCGTTCCGAAACATCTTACAATTTGGGTTTATATTGTAGTCCTTGGAAGTGCATTGGGAATGCATAACTTGTATCTATCTCCCTGTAGGTCTGATGGCTTGAAAGAAACCTAAGAAAGGCATGTTATTTGTGTATTAGTCATTATGGCTGCATTTTTATAAGAAATAAACCCACTTCCCTGCGATCTTTGTTTGTAATATATTGCTTACATCACGTAGCTCATCAGATGGGCCTCTCCCTCCATTCACTAAACTGTTTACTACATGCTGTATATTTGGAAAATAATTGGTTACTAGCAGACTGAACTTTTTTTTCTTTTTGTGGACTTACATTTTTGTGATCATCTTCTAAACCTCTTTGGGATTTTTCAGGAATTCCTACCATATTCATTATTACGTGGACAGTGACACGGATCATTTTAGAGGACACTGGGTAAGCGCATGGGGGACAGAAAGCTTAAAGCTTCCAACTGTGCCAATACAATCCCTGTCTTGGGTATGGTGGTGTTCATACAGAAGTAGTTTGATGTTCTGAAGGGGACAAATACAGAACTGAAGTTTCAGATGTGGCAATAAAGGGACAAGTGTTTAGGAGCTCTTCAGCATGCTGTTTATGCTTGCTGTTTATTTGAAGAAAATCTAAGGACAGGAAAGGGCAGAGAAGGGTTATAACTAGTGTTACCCCTTGAGACCCACGTTTAACACTATCTGCCTTTGAAGTCAAAATAATACTTAAAATAGCAAAGGAGGTCCTTGGGTTCAGTGCTGCTATACAGTGCAGTAGGATACTGGGCATTCTAATTTGCTAACTAGAAACTCAAATGATTGAAATCACGATAAATTTGGGTGTATCTAAATTACATTCCCAGAAGTGACGCAATGTGATGTAAACATAAGTAAGATGCGTGTAGTCAGGTAAAACTGTGACTAACTAGAGCTAGGCCTGGCTCCTGGCATGGGAAGTGGAACTGAGATAAGAATTTTGTGGGAAGATCAGACTTGCTGCTGCTGCTGGCCCCAAGGAATGGGAGAGCATTCCTAGCTAGTGGGACAAACAGTTTTCACACTCCTTGTTTTCAACTTGACTAATATTTTTCAGTTGATTCTGTAATTAAACTGAAAAATCATGTTCTACATAATTTCTAAGTTTTCTTTGCAAGGCCTCTAACACGTAAACCAAAGGCTAACTTCTTTTTCTTTGTCGTTATGATCACAGTTAGGGGAACTCGGAAGGATATTGCCCTTGCTTAAGACTAATCTTTCAGAGCACTTCTTCTCAGAGTGTTTGGACCAAAAGTGCCAAGCCTCCAGTGAAAATTAAATTTTCAGTTTTTCAGAAAATGCTGCAGGTTTGGTCTCACGTTTTTCCTAAACAAGTTCCAGCCATCTGTAACCTAAATATTCCACAAGGAATTATTCATTTCAATTATATCTATCACTTGCTTTAGATCTTCCTGCTACCCAGAGGCTGGTGTTAAGTGCTTATTGCAAAAGTGTCCTTACACAAAGTGAAAAAGTAAGCTTGGTTTCCCTAAAG